TTTTTTTTTTTTTTTTTTTTTTTTTTTTTTTTACAGGTTGCCCCCACTCCCAAACAAAGTCAGCCTAGAACAGAGGTCACAAATAGCAGAGTAAGCAATGGAAAAATAAAGTCTTTTCTGGAAAGTGTCAGGAAATCTTACCAGGCTCCACCTCTGACAATGTTTGGTTTACATCAGAAGGTAAGCAGTACAGTAGCCATTTCAAACACCGTCCAACCGTACCATGGGACACTGCCTGAAGTGATTAAATGCAAAAGACAGCCTGGTTATGGAATGAGAATGAAGGCTCTGCTCCCAAGAAATGCAGCCAGAGGCTATTCTTGAGGCTGCTCTGCTTTGCTGCAGATAAGACAGCTGCAGAATCCTGTGCCAACATACACCAAGGTGCTGTACAGACACCAGGGAATGAGCCAAATAGATACCTAAACTGTGTGTATCTGCTCTTCCTTGGGGCAAGGAGAGACAATAGGCTTCACCTTCTGGAGACAGTACAAGGAGGAATAGGTTTGGTTAGCACCGCCGCTGTGAACGATACTCAAGCATCTCAAAAGTAGGTCCCTATCAGCATCACAAGGCCTCTAAATCAAAGTTTATAATTCAGAGGCTGTGCTGAACTGCCCCTTTCCAAAGGAAGTCAGCTTACTGGCTGTTGATTTTAATTGCAGTAGCTAATCCCAGCCCAGCACCAAACGCTTCATAGATGCAGAAGTCGCCAGGTATGGTGTCCCTATCACTATTGCTGTGCAAGTCTATGCCAATACGCCAGCAAGCGAGGTGCTACCTCTGTCGAACAGGATGCAGTCCACGCGTTTGATGAAGAGATGCTGGTGATCAGAACGAGGCTTTTCAGGACCTAGCTCCAGTGCTCAAAAGATGAAGAACCAGGTACTAAGCACACGTGTTTAGCAAGTCACTCCTGTTAAGCAAATTCAGAAGCCCCTTCCCTATTAACATGGGTACTTGTTAAACACAGTGACCATGTACTCTTGAGTGACCATGTACTCTTGAGCGCAGCCCTCCACTTCCAGTTTAGGACTAAAGATG